TTGAAAATACCATGGCTTGGATCAGGGGTGCCTTAGTTCTCAAAATGACATCTTTGATGAATGATTTTCTTAAGTTTGCTTTTTGCCTACTAGGTGGCTACTATAGGGAGAACTGGGAAAGGAAGAAGGATCACTTTTCAAGCGATAACCCCTTTCATAGAGTTTTCCTAGAAAGTTGTCCAATGACTTCCCCTTAAATTTCATGCGTAGCTAGACATTTTACTTAGCCTAAAACACAAGGAAGTTACTGAGGAAAAAGGGGAGAATGGATATTGTGTAACAAACCAACAGTGCTTACTCTCAGACATTTGCCTTCATATTGTTTGTGTACCATGCTGGAGATAAACTTCTTTTTTTGGATTGCAGTCTCCTTGGCTAAATGTGGAGGATGAAGCACAACTTTCCTCTCCCCTAAGAACCTTCCAAGGAACTCTGGTAGCATAGTGCCTAAGGCACTTGACTGCTAACCAGAAGGCTGGCAGTTCAAACCCACTAGCCACTCTTAGGAAGGAAGGTTGGGCAATCTACTTCTGTAATTATACTGCCTCAGAAATCCAAAGAAGGGTCGCTATGAGTTGGGTCCAACTTAATGGCATATATCAACAACAATAACAACAAGAACCTTCCAACCTTGTCTATAGTTCCCGGGGCTCAGGGACCCACTCCTTTAAGCTCTCTCTAGTTGGTCCCTAGGCTTGCTATTAATAATTGTACTATAGTGTGGTGGCTTAGAGACAGGAGAGAATGTTAATTAAGCACTCAGACTTTTACTTCTTTTTTGTAGGACTGACCTTTTCAAAATGATTTTTTCTGATCTCTACTGGTGGAAAATATTGATCACTTACATTATTATGTGTTTATGTAATAAACTCTATGTCTTTCATCTTCCAGGGTTTGACTTTTGTTACTCAAAGCCAAGATTTTAGAGTTCAAAAATATTTTATGCCAAAGCCCAGGTCATATAATTTAATGTTTTGGTTTTTAAGATAATTGTCCCTGCCATAGACTTATGGGGGGGGGGGACTATGCAGGAAGAAAATCTCTTCAGTAAATCACTTGATATCCTTTTCTATTTCAAATCTAGTTTTGTGAGACAATACAGATATAAAGCTTTCCCTTTTGGCTGAAAATGGGGTAATAAGCATAAGAATGGAGAAAAATGAACCTCAAGTAAGATCTGAAAATATTATCTACAAAAGTGAAATACACAACAATAATACAAGGCAGAAGGGCAATGCACTTAAAGGGGTTGAGAAGTGAAAGAGCAAAGAATTCAGACTTCGGGAAATCTGTTACGATATCTCAGGGCAGGGAGAATTTAAGCTCGTCCTTGAAAAACTCTGAAGACAGGAAACAAAAAGAATGGCATTATTGTAGAGATGCAAGTCAAAGCAACAATGAGATATTATTTCACCCCCACCACTAATAGGAAAGTTCAAAAAACCAGAAAACAACTAATGCTGGCAAGGGTATGGAGAGACTGGAACCCTCATACACTGATGATGGGACTGTAAAATAGTGCAACCACTGTGGAAAGCAATATGCTTCCTTAAAAAGTGGGAAAGAAATATTATTTGATCTAGCAATCCCACTCCTAGGTATATATCCTAGAGAAATAAGAGCCATGACATAAACAAATATATGCAGACCCATGTTCATTGCAGCACTATTCACAATAGCAAAGAGATAGAAAAAACGTAAATACCCATCAGTGGAGGAATGGATCAAGAAACTATATGTTCTGGTTACCTAGTGCTGCTCTGACAAGAATGTATCACAAATGGGATGGCCTTAACAAACAGGAGTTTATTCTTACAATTGGAGGCTTTAAGTCCAAGGTTAAAGTGCCAGGCTCTAGGGGCTGGGTGAAAGTCCCTCAACCTTGGGGTCCAGCTCTGCCTCTTATTCCCGGCCCACTGGAGCTAGAGGTGTTTCTTCACTCTAACAGCTGCTGGCTGCTGAGGCTGAGAAGCCCCAAAGTTGACAAGTAAAAAGGCACAGTCCTGATGTTACCAAATCATATGGAAGGCCATTAACTTAGGTCCATTGTAAGTCCCAGGTCGGCAGAGCATAGCAGGCTGCTGAGCAATGACACGGCTACATGTAGGGTCCAAGCATGCCATAGGCTAGAGACCATTCCCAAAGCTTCTCCTTATATACAGGAAGCAGACCACATCCTAAAGGCAGCTACTCAGCTGCTTGTGGTAGATCCCACCATGGAGTTGATTGCCAGTCTCATCATGGGGAATAACTACCACCAGCTGCCCAGCCACTCAACCAGGCCCAGCCAAGTTGACATAGAAATTGAACTACCACACTCAGGTAGTATATACCAAGGAATGCTACACGATGTTAAAGAACAATAATGAATCTGTGAAACATAACATGGATGACCTAGAGGTCATTATGCTGAGTGAAGTTAGTAACTAAAGGACAAATACTGTATGAGATTGTATGAGACCACTATTGTAAAAAGTCAAGAAAAGGGGAAAAGGGTTTCACAAATATATATATATATATATATTCTTCGATGGTTACCAGGTGTGCATGGGGAAGATAAGCCATTAACTAGAGGATAGACATATATTAACTTTGATGAAGGGAAAATAAATAAATACATAAAAAATTTAAAAAATGTTGACATGACAAATGTTTTGTTTTTACACACACACACACACATACACATACTTGCTACAATAAAAAAAGAATAATCATCTGACATATATATATATACATATATATATATGAATAGTTATAGATATATCAGAAAACTAAATAGAAAGGGAATTCCTGAATTTGATTAAGAGCATATGCAAAAACCTTATACCTAGCATTACTCTGGAATGTAATGCAAGACTGAATACTTTGTCTTTAATAATAGGATCCCACCATTCTCTGTCAGTTTGTTGTACTGGGGTGGCTTGTGGGTTGCTGTGATGCTGGAAGCTATGCCACTGATATTACAAATACCAGCAGGATCACCCCATGTTCTGTTGTATGTGGAATCTCTATGATTTGAAACTGACTCAACACCACCTAATAACAATATTAGGAACAAGGAAAGGATGGCCTGCTCTAATACAATATAGTGGTGGAAGTTCTAACCATTTCAGTAACACAAGAAAATAAAATAAAAGGCATGTAAATTAGAAAGGAAGAAATAAAATTGCCCCGATTTGCAGAAGACATGATTGTCTATATAGAAAACTCAAGGAATCTCCACAAACCCTCTGACACTAATAAAGTAGCTAAGCAAGGCCTCAAGATATAAACATACAAAAGCCAATTATATATCTATTCAATAGCATTGAAGTTGTGAACACTGAAACTAAAATTGCAATATCATTTAGAAAAAAAAAAGAAATACTTCTATATTTAACAAAATAAGTACAGGATTCGAATATTTAAAAACTATAAGACACTGACTTACAAAATGAAATGGAGAGATATACTGTGCTAATAGGATGCCAAGTCTTTCCAATTGGATATAAAGATTTTATTCAATTCCTATAAAAATCCTTGTCATATTGTGGTGGCTTGTGTGTTTTTATGATGCTGGAACTTATGACTCTGGTATTAAAAAAAAGAAAAAAAAGGATCGGCACTGAAAGCTAAGGAAACATCCTTATAGAAGTTAGATTGAATTTTTTTTTTTTTTTTTAAACCCTGAGTCATTAACTGTTTTATTAGGAGTTATTGAGCATTATTGAATGGCAAAGGCTATATGGGAAAGCAACTGAATGAGGGTGAATTCTTTATACAAATAACTCTTTATACAAATAAAACTACTTTGCATAACACTCTGTCAGCCAACAAATACTTATTAAGTATTGACTCTAACCAGGTAGCATGCTAAGCCTGAGACATTAAAGGGGGAAAAAAAAACTTATCTCTGACTTTAAGGAGTTAGGGGCCTGGGAGGGGAAGTGGAGCTCCAGGGTGGTGAAAACGATTACACACTAGGCTGAGAACAGAAATGTTGGAGGTTCAAGCCCACCCAGGCACTTTGGAAGAAAGGCCTGGTGATGTAGTTCTGAAAAATCCACCACTGAAAACCCTCTGCACACACGGGGTTGCCACGAATCAGAGTCAACCTGATGGCTATTGCCATAATTGGGGTGCGTTCAAAGTACAGTGGTGAACAGATGAATGAATTCATATAACGAATACTTCTTGAAATAAGTCCCCTTGCCCCATGTGACAGACCAAGAAAAGTAAACACTGTCCCTGAGTTCCTGAACTTACAGTCTGTGGAATGAAAGAACTCTAACTGCCAGCACAAAGGTTGAGCCGAACTCTCACATGTACATCCTGTTGCGAAATCAGGGCTATAAATGTGGAAGTGTTACCATTAATATTTTAAAACATGTCATAATTACTGTAATTGAAAAGGACTTTAACAACTTCCTTGAGAAAATAAAAATGAGTACTATGTGCATTACAACAGTTTTAGACTTTCTTTTGTTGGCATAAAGCCAAGAATTCAGATCAGAGTGAGAGAATGAGCAGATAGAAGGGGGAGAGAAATTTGAAAACTCATTTTGGAGACTTTCTTTTACTGTCCTGTGGTATTATAATACTGGTAAGCACAATCTCATTTCTTTCACTGCTCCTAAAACTAAGAGTCTAAATATTGACTAGAATATATATCTCATTATACCTGCCTTTTCTCTGAAATTAATAAATTAACATTATTTATTTATACATAATAAATTAATGTATTTGTTGGAGGTCTCAAACGGGTCCATACAAATGTGAAGTCTACAATGTGAACTTTCATTTCTTCACTTAATGAAGTGGTTTATAAAGCTATTTGGAGAGAGATGTCATGCATCCTTGAAAACTTAACTAAAAATGCCAATAAATGTCTCATTAAGGTTAGGTTCATTATACAGAAGTTCCTCATGTCAAGAAGAATTCCATTCCATTTTCCAGAAAGCTTGGAAATTTGATTGGAGCAGACTAATCAACATTAAATACTATGTTTAACTATCTTGCAGGTCCTTCATTCTTTTACTGATGCCATTTTTGATGAGTGGATGAACAGATTCAAGCCTCCTGCTGATGCCTGGCCTCAGGAGCTGGCACCCATTGGTCACAACCGAATGTATAACATAGTTCCTTTCTTCCCCCCTATAACTAATGAGGAACTCTTTGTAACTGCAGAACAACTTGGCTACAGCTATGCCATTGACCTGACAGGTAACTAATACAATTTTTAAATAAGGTAATTCATTTATCATCTAAAGGAGCTTCCTTCCTTCCTTCCTCCCTCCCTCCCTCCCGCCTCCCTCCCTTCCTTTTTCCCTCCCTCCCTCCGGCCTGCCTGCCTGCCTTGCCTTCCTTCTGTGCCTTCCTCCTTCCCCCCTCTTTCATCTCCCTGCCTCCCTCTCTCCCTCCCTTCCTTCTCTGCCTATCTTCTCTCCCTCCCTCCTTCTTTCCTTCCCTCCTTCCCTTCCTTTCTTCCTTCCTTGTCCCTCTCTCTCCCTCCCTCCATCCCTCCTTTCCTTTTTTTGACATAACCAAGACCTTTAATTGAAGCATTCAAAGCTAGTATAGTTTCTTGGTCATTTTCTAAAATAAGTGTATAGCAAAAAGGAGCCTTTTTTTTTATTAGGATTTGGGTGAAGATTTACAGAGTAAATTCACTTTTCATACAGCAGTTCACATATACTTTGTCTCATGTCATTGACC